AGATGATAAAAAAAATTCCCCCTTTTTTTTAAAACAAGCAAAACCCAAAAAAAATTTTTTCCCTCCCAAAATTTTTTTTTTTTTTTTTAAGATTAACCAATTAATAAAAATTTTTTTTTTTTTTGTTTTTTAAAAAAAAAAATCAATAAACGGGAATTTATTTAAAGAAGAAAAATTTAATAAATAAATAATTGAAATAAAAAAGAAATGGTTTTGAAGTTCTTTTCAATATGAATTGGAAACCAACAAAAAAGGGATTAGCAAAAAAAAAATGCTGAAAAAATAACATTAAGTAACAAAAGAAAGAAATTTTAATAAAGAAATAAGGAAGTGCAATTATAAAATATATATGAAAGAGAGGTGGAGGATGTTTTGTAAGAAAAAGAAAGAAGGTGGTTTAACATTCAAGGATGAACTTTTTCCCTGGGCTCTTTATTATGAGTGTGTATCATTATCTTTGATTCTTTTTGTCCAATTTTTTATTGCAACAAAGTTTGCATCGTTCACGCTTTCCACCGTTTACATAATGGCCCTATTTTTATATCTTTTGACCTTCGAGAAGAATCTTTTTTTTATATTTTTTTTCCCTTTTGCTTAATGAATTGATATGATAAGTAAGGGAAATTTTTTTTGTTCACAATATATTTGGAAAAATGATAATGAAAGAAAGGTAAATTGAATAAAACAATATATAAAATATTTTTAATAAACATTACCTTTCAACACTTTAGAAATAATATAATGGTAAAATGCATGTATAAAAACGATAATAAATGTAAGATTTAAATTCTTCTTTTATAATATTAAAATAAAGATATTAAAATAACAATAAAACGTTAATATACAGAAAACCGCGTAAGCTTTAAAAGCTCTTTAAGTGTGTTTTTTCTTGGTGATAATAATGTCTTTTGGGTCTCCTACAAAACGGTAAGCCCAATTGTAGGTTGGGCCTTCCAATGCCTTAACCAAGCAGGCCCAAGTCAAAACCTTGTTATTAATACACAATTTGAGTTAACGAAAATCGGACCTGAAAAAACCATCAACTTATATGGCATATTGGATTTCAATAACCCAAATCGTTCGTTTGGATATTGCGATCAAGAGAACTGAAGTAAGCTGGTATTGCATTTTAAATGTATGGTGAGTAATTAAATCGAATCAGGTCGCCCCGTATGGCCAACGGCGTTTATAAAATGAAATTTTCACAATGACATCGCGCTGCGACGTGTCGTTACGTTTGAAATTAGGGCTAGCCACGTGTTCAATTTTGGAAGTCAAAAATCGGTCTGCGAAAACTGTGGTTAAACTGAATCTGGGACCGGGAAGGTTGGGTCGCGGTTTGATTCCTGTTAACCACTATGTGAGATCCTGAACAGCCCGATGCGGCCAGTTCAACCGGCGTATGTTCACTCTGGCGATACTGACGCCGGAATCGAGAACCGGGCAGACCAAGAATCAGAAAGATCAGTTATTATATTAAATATCATAGTATTGTTTTGTTTGTTTGTGGTGGTATGTCCGATTGATCGATTTGGATTGTGTGTAATCTGGTGCGTAGCTGAATTAGGCATCCCAAATTTTTGTCTGCCATTTTGGAGTAAATGACCAATTCATTCCAAATCACCGGACAATGATTTGATGAATTATCATATGCCTGATGTTATGGCCCTGTCAAATGATATACATAATTTAGTTAATTAATTACCATATTAGGCGCAAGACCAATTTCCATGTGAATGAGAACGCCATAGTAAGGCCATCTATTGTTGTAAAAAACAAAGAAATATTAAATTATTTATGCATGGCTCACATTGGATCTACCGGATTAGAGTGGTGGCTGTTGTCTTGGCCATTTAGCCGGATTAAGACCACATCTCAGATCATCAAATACCCAAATATAAACGGAGAGAGTGGTGTTGTGTCTGTGTTTGTTAGGGTTGCAGAGATAATGATAGTGAGCAAGTGTCTTGTTATACGATGCATGGATAAGAAGAAGCAACAGAGGTGGTCAATATTAGTGGGAGGATATAGGAAAGTAGAATCAAGAACAATTAGAATTAGAATCTGGAACTGGAACTGGGATCACAGGCTAATGGAATTGCAAATCTCTATAGCTTTTTGAAGTTGGGTATTTAAGCTTGATCCGGTCCTTGAATCCCTCCTCCATAACCCATTCCTTCAAAACCGCATCTCTTGTATTGTTTCAAATCTCTCTCTCTTCTCTTTCATAAACCCACTTTTAATAAGTGTTTATGACTTTTGGATTTTTACTTTGTATAACTGTGTGTCTGTTTGTTCTTTGGTCTGGATCTTCACTTTTCTTTTGAATTGTCTTATTTACCTTGGAGAGTGTGGAATAATGGGATACCTGTTATAATCAGTAATGGAAGTTTTTCGTAAATTTCTTTTGAATCTCAAACGGTTTGTTAATGGATGTTTAGTACTATAGAGTAAACTTTGTTTTCACGACTTAAATGTAGGTTATGGAAACAAAAAAAAAAAAAAAAAAACATCTTGGATAAAATCAATAGAAGAAAGGAAGATTAGCAAACTTTATAGTCAATGTATAGGCTCTATTTAGAAATTTAAAAAAAAAAAAAAAAAAAAACATCTTGGATCAAATCAAATAAAGAAAAGGAGATTAGCAAACTTTATAGTCAATGTATTAGCTCTATTAGAAATTTAGTCCTGCATAATTTTCATAGTCTAAAATGTCAAGATTTTATTGACTTGAGGAAGACTTGAATTCTGTTAGCTTGCTTAAGTAAATATTTAGTAGCAGTGTATTTGCAGAACTAAAGAAGATGTGGAATTCCGATGGGAAATGCTATCTGACTTCCGGTCAAGAACAAGAGTGCTGGCTCTTAGTGTCTATTCATCACCATCTACAAAGAGGTAGGATTGAACATTTTTCAATTCTGAATGGTAGAATTAGAAAAGGTAGCCATTTTCTATGACGCACTTGGATTTTATGTTTATGTCAGATATGTAATTATGAAGATCATAAAGACATGAAAAGGAAATTTTGCAGAAGCAGCCGAACATAGTTTATAGTTTGCATCTCACAATAAGAAAATGTTATTATGAACTTAAACAACCAATCTAAACTAAATGAAAGCGTCAGAAAGTATTGGCATTGAATTTCTTTGGCTAAATGGATCTTATCTTATTTGCAGTTAATGAAATATACAAAATTGGTGCTTGCATCTTAAATGCTCGGTTAAGTGAAGCCTGAATCCCAAACTTTAATTCAAAAACAAAAAAACTTTGGAATCCCCTTTCCTCTTTTTGAGTTACTGTATCACGTGTCAACTGAAATTATTTCAATAAGACTACTCAATTGGGTTCCCAAAATAATTTTTGCTTATTGTCTACTTGTCTAGTCTCGTGTCATCATTGCATGGATCCTTCTTTATGATATAACAAAGGAAAGACAGCAACCTTAGCTGATTTCCTGCACATTTAATTTAGTTTCTTGGCTATGTTTGATTGGATAATCTTTTAGTTGTACCAATTACTCGTTGTACAGGGCAGGGGGCTTGCCAGTTACAAATACCAAAGGAAGCAACGAACCCTGTAAAAGTGACGACCAAGGTACGACTCTACTGATGTAGGTTCAAGCACACAACTCTTCCATCTTATCAATAGTGCTAGTCTAATGATATTATAATGAGCATCACCGATGGGCAAATTTTTTAGAAATAAACAAATCTATTTTTTCCCCTGTTCAGTATCATTCAAATACAAAAATACGTTTCATTAGGACACCTGAACTTGGTAATATTATTCTGGTGCTTGGAATGTCGATTATTAATGTTTTAAGAAAAGTGTTCGTGTTTTAATCAAGCCTTCTCTACATTATGACGCAGATCATATGAACTCATTCTCAAAAGATGACTCTGAGATGCTCAAACCTCTTATTGTAAGTATGATTATTCATATAAAGTTGCTCTTAATTTTCTGCTCGCTACACTTCTGGCTTATCCATGACCAAGTTGCTTCTGTGGCTTCATGCAGTCAAAGGATGCAACCCAAAGTCACGAACTGCAGGTACATTTTTTGCATACGAGCCGACGATCCTTCCTTTTCTTTTCTTTTTAAAAATTCTCTCTCATTTTCCTAACCATCTTTTAACCTCTATTTTTGTTATACTTAGATGAAGCAATCTGTTTCTTGTATTCCAATGAGTGGAATCAATAAAGTTTGTTGGATCATCTGTTTGATTCTTGGAGCAGCTGCACTTCTAGTCCTCCTGGTTATCCTCTGTGCAGCTATATAATCTACCTACTCTGCCCGGTTCCTATTTGTGTGCTATTACGATTACTGCTGCATAACTACAGAGCAACAATTAGTGGATTATGTCTTCGTAGCTTCTATTTATATACCTGTTAACTCTCGGAGATGCATGGAATTGATTCTGAAATTACTGGCAGGATATCAGTGTTAATTCCATATTTATGGGACGATTATCTTCACTTGCCACGAGACCTTTAAGCCCACTAAGACTGCCTGCTCTTCCTTTGATGCAATATCTACTTCTTCATGTTACATTGCGTGTATGTGCCATTGCCTCTCTATCCCCATTCCCCATTTACGAACACTTCATCTACGACTCATATTGCAAAAACCTTTTGTACATAAAGGAAACAAAAGAAACAATGGCAATGACTCCGAGCATAACCAATCGCACAAATCATCAAGCCATTCTTACATGTCAAGTTCTGGAATCTATAGAAGGACTTTCCTTGTTCATTCTCAGTTATCAACCCGTACTGTTATTCTATGCCTTAAAAAAGACAATAAAGATTGAGATCAAAGATGATACAGTGCTTCAGATCTGCAGAGATCGAGAACAGCAAACATCATTGTCTCTAGTGTAGCAGCAAGAAATTCTTGGGAAGTTCAGGCCGCCGGAGAATGCAAAGATGGATGATCAAGTGATGGAGGATGGAGACTTTAAGTATACTTTTGATGTTTAGTACATAAGCTATTAAGGGTGCTGTTTGGAATTACACATGCTAAAGCACAATAAATTGAATGTGAGGGAATTTCTTTTCTCTTTTATCTATTTTATCTTATTTTATTTTCTTTGAACTCAATTTTTCAATGATGAGCAAAACCAGATAAAAGAAGGTAGTCACTAAGCAAAGACTGCAATGACCTTTTAATACTTATGTTTAAGATCCCATTTAGCATTGTCATTGCCAATAATAGATTTTGAATTAAATATTTATTATGTATCAAAAATAAATTTTTGTAGGTGTGTAGCCATGGTGTGAGACACAGAATTTGTTCACAAAAATGGGTCTCAACTCAACAGTGAAAGTGCCAAATTAAGTTTGAATTTTGGTACTGTACGGATATAATAGTTTTTTAGGGTTTGGGAAATTATGTACTATATGGTTGATTTGAGGCACATAGTCCGAATAAAAATAATCAGTAATTACCTAGATGAGGTTGGTGAGGTAGGTTCTTTTTGAGTAAGATTTCACGAATGCTATTTTTTTACGGTATTCGGTAACATAGTTTTTAAATTAATTTTTAATAATTAACTCATGTAATGTTTAACTTTTAGCGTTTTATGAAAAACTATATGACCTCATGTAGCATTTCAATTAATTTTACCGAACAGATCCAAAGTGTGTTACGTGCTTAACCGATACGGTAATTTCTCTATTTCTCCATATCGGTCCTGCGACCGATTTGGTTAAAAAAAAATATGACACAGAGAAGAGTACAAGTACATGCATTATGTGTTGTGTAGAGGAGAGATACATTACTGTTTCGAGGTAAAAGGAATGACATAAGACATAGACATTGCACCAAACATTCAGATTTACTTTAGCATATTTAGCCTGCAAGGGAATGCAACAAGAAATCAAAGCTATTCTCCAATTCACCTTTGTCTAAGCAAAGCAACATTTATCTATCTCTGTGTCTCTCAATGAAGTGTCTTCCTCTTAACTTTCACCTACCATGAAACTATACTCTTATTTCTTCTAAATGGGTTGGTTTCAATCCTTCTTTTCTCCATTGAAGAAGCTCTGGTTTCGCATGCACTCTGCTCATAGAAAGAGTAATACTTTTCTCTACATTTTTTATCTTTCTTCCTTCTGCTTATTATTTTGATTTTCTTCTATCAAAAAAGATTTTCATGCTTCAATTCCATGCCTACGTATTATTACAATTCATGATTGCATTTTTCCTTTCTGGGTTCATACCAGTACATAATTAATAACTCTGCAATTGTATTCAATTATCTAAGTTAATTTTAGAATCCTAAATGACCATATTGTTATTTTCATTTTCTGTTTTTTCTGTAGGTAAAGGCATATACATTTTATATGAAGATGTGAAGTCCTGCCCAAGTGAAGATGTGCAAGTTCTGTGGTCTATACTGGTTGAGTCCCATCTGCATGCACCTATTCCAACCCAACAAAACAATATTCAAGAATTGACCAAACTTTCAATGGAAAATGAGAAACTTTAAGAGATTGTTTCATACTTTTGCAAACATGTATTTATATAAAATTATTTAGAATTGGTTTTAGGGTTTTAATAATTCTTCTTTGAAAAGAAAATGTATGTGGGTCTCTTCTAGAAGGTATAAATAATTATTAAAGTGTAGTTATATGACTTTGAAGTGAGTTGGTTTGTCCATATTTTGGCAGTTGGGATTGCAGCTTAGCACTTTTCAAGTCTGTATTCTGAGATGTCTTTAGGTCTAAACATGTCAATTGAAGAACTGATGGACAATTGGAGCTACTTTATCTCACTTTTTATTTTCTTCAAATCTAGTTTTATCAGATTGACAATGATGGTTGTCAAAGATTCTTCAAATTCAATCATTATATTGATTATTGTTTTTCACATTCTTTTGACTTAAAAATAAATCTATCCAACATTCAAAGAATTATCATCCTCATGGCAAATTGCTTCTTTTATGCAACTTATTTACTGTATGAAAATCGAAAAATTACTCGGGATTAAAGAAAAAGAGGTGGTAAAAATTATTTTCTCCATATCTCATACATTTCATTTTACTGTAATTTCTTCCATATCAGTAAGAAACAAATTGCATTTGTTTAATCTTAAGACAAACTCATAATACTTTCAAAAGCTGCACCTCAAATATTAGAGGCTCATTTGCATGAGAGAGAAGGCTTCGTCGAGGGCCAAACTGCAACGGAAAGCCATTCAAATAACGAAATTAATTAAACTGAATAGTGGACATTGATGTGCACAGAAAAAGGTCATCAACAACTAAATATAAACCTTGAGGTTAAGAAAGTAATGCAGGATTTACAAACCTCTTCTGGTATTGGTTTCAAGGTTTCATTTATGTACCCCACAGAAGGTGGTATCAAAGCTCTTCTCTTCCCTGAAGAGATGGAAAAGAACAGATATTTGAGAAGTAATTAACATGGAATTAGATACAGTGTTAAAAGAATGGTTTATGACATTGTGAATCTGTTCTTTTAGAACATACCTCCAATTTTCATGCCAATTAAGACATCCTTCAAGCCCTTAATAATCTGTCAGAAGAAGCAAATTATAAGTTGTAATATTAAAAGACACTTCTTAATAAAAAATATGTCATAATTAAATTCTTATAATTTATATGCAAGATAACAAACTTTACGCCATTGGCCAGTAGTTGAATGGTCAAATATCTGCTTGTAGCCTGAGAAGGAAGCGTCTTGAGATTGGAAAGAAGACGCATACATTATCCATATATTTCAGTTAGCACTCACATTCCATTTCCTTTCCTTTCCAATTATAAATTGCTCTAAGCATCCAATAAAAATAGGCATACAAACTTGATTCAATTGTCCCTAAATGATATGATTCACAATGACCAGATTCCTATAAGTCAAATATCCTAAGATGAAATAAGAATTTCCTCCATACCCTGTTCTCATCCAAAGGAAGTATGACAGGTGAACTTTCCCCACTGAATTGATCCACTGTGCTGTATTAAAAGGACAATTAGAATTCAAAAGAGCAATGAGCAGTCCTCATTTGATAAAGGATGAGAATATAAAGAGAAGCCTAATAATAGCATGAACGAGCACAACCTATTCCTGATATAGAAGTACATATATAAACTGTGAAAACAGTAAAACATTGACATAAAATTACCTGTGGACAAAATATCCATTTGATCGACGACATACATAATTTATTTCAACTACATCTCCTTCATGAGCTTCTGAACCTTCTCCTTCTATAATCTCTATAAATAAAAACCAGAAATTAACATCTGAATTCTAATAATAACAAATTTATTTGACATTGTAATTACAAACCATGATTTTAAATATTAGCCATTTGCAGCATATGGACCCATGGTGAATCAGCTATATAAATGAAACTTCAATTTTCTAAACAAATTCACAAAAGGACCAACCCTGGCAGACTTTCTGTGACACATTGACACGCCTACACCACAACCTGAGTATGATTTGAAAAATCCTGATGGTAATATCCATATAATTCATGCTTATATTTTTTAACTTCCCAGCAGTCAATATCAATTATAATTCAACTCGCATAACGTATATAAAGGAATGTCACTAGTTCATTCTCTACAAAACTATATAATATATGCAATTCAGCTGAACTAAATCTCAATGCCAATTTAGTTGGGTCAGCTATATTAATCATTTCCTCCCCAATATCCAGAGTTTAAGACAACATCTATAAATGCCAGTAGACAAGCTGACTATGAGTCAAAGCCTGATAGCGGAGTTTAAGACAACATCTACAACTCATTTTAGGTAAATATCGTCTTCTTTTTATCTACAACAGACATAACAAGCAAAATTAAGAAAACAGATATAATAGATACCTTGAATCCTCACTCCACTGTCAAGCTTTAATGTCCTGAACACTTCAAATCCCAAACAAAATCTCACATGAGAACTAATAGACTGTGTATATGAAAAAAAAAAAAAAAAGAAAAGAAAGAGTCTTTTAAGCTTAAAAAGCAATAAGAAGGAAAAAGAAAAGAAAAAAAAAAGGAAATAAAGATAACAAATACAACTTTTTTACCTAACAACTTGAGGTTCTTTCATATCTGGCACTGGTGCAGCAAAAACAGGACTAACACGTAATAAGATGGAATTGAATCCAATTGACTTCAAAAGCACTCTTCTTGGAAATCTTTTTACTGATAGAGAAACAAATTTGCCATAGAACTCCATGGAAGTGGCATCTTTCCATCTATTACTGCATGATCAGTGAAATATCAACAAATTTTGCTACTAAAGTTGACTAAAAAAAAAATTTGAAATTATAAATGATTGCTCTAAAGTCTAAATGCTGGGGACATATATTTACCTTGGAGACTTGAAAACTGGAGGATAGCGGAACAGGGTTTGCAATGGAAGCCTTTCCATTACCCAGAACCAGAAGAATACACCAAATGAAAATTTTGGAAGTAGCTGATAACACTTGGCTCTGAAGAGGATATGGCAATAATGGGCCATCCTGTGAAAGTAGCCACTCGGCTTTCTTTCTCTCTTTCTTTTGTTTTTTGGTGCCCATTAAGCATAACGTTGGTCGTTGGGCTTGCTAAGCCTGGTGATTGCAAAGTTAGAATTAGTACTATGTCATTTAACTAATTTTAATGAAATATATTACAACCTGCATTAAGCTTAATTAACATATATTTAACTATTTTATCTCTATATTTAATGGAAAAAGTATAAAAAATTATTTATGGAAGGATATAATAGTGCAATGAATGTAAAATATAACAAAATATATACTTTTAAAAATATATGTTTAATTGTATAAAATATTGAGACAATATAATAATTTCCTTCCTTTTTGTATGTAGTTGGCCTGTACATTTTTTGTACCTTAAAAAAATAGATAAAAGAACGGGGTGGAAAGAAGGCAAAGGCTCATGTTAAGGTAGTGAACGTGGCCCATTTCCTTCCTATGGAGAAAGAATGGAAAAGATAAGACGCTCGTTCCGACTTTCCGTTAAAAACAACACAAACAACATTGGAAGAACGACACGACAGCCCATTCACTTGAAAGTTGGATTAATTATTAACAAAGGGTTGACATAAACAATCCTTCTGTTGTCTTGAATTTTATTGGTCCATTATTATCGTGTTAGTGGCAAATCCACCCAACCCACCAAAGTGAAACTCTTGCCAACCGCGATAACATCCAAAAAACACACCTCTAAGAGAATCTTTAAACAATACCCAAAAAAGAAGATTAAAAAATAATCTCTCTATGTTAATTTCCTGACAAATTTCTCATGCTTAAGCATCTCCTGAATTCAATTCTTGAGATACCCTCTTTCTCTTTATCTATGATTCTTTGTCTATTACGTGCCTGAAAGTGAAACTGTTGGCAAATTAATACTTCAATGATATAAAAGCAAAAAGGAGTATTATTTTTTCGTTTTCTACTTTCCATCTCTTTCTTTATTGGAAGTGATATTGGTAGCAGAAAGAAAGAGAGGAGAAGAAGTGGGGAGCTTAGAGCTGCGTTTTATCCTTTTCTTGTAAAGTTATGGCTTCTTCAATTCTTTTTCCGACAAATTCTATTACTGGAACTCGAAGCAAGAATCCTGGGTTCTTGCCCTCTTGTGGTCGACGGTCGGTGGCTCAGGTGGTGAGAACGCAAAGGCTGTCATTTGTTCGGTCTGCTTTGGACTCTTTGGAGACCAAAGTGTCTGATATGAGTGTTAATGGTACTTCACTAATCTTCTAGTTCCTTTTGTCTTGGTATTTATTCCAGGCTTGATTGCTTATTCAATTTCTGGGTTTGTACTATGTCTATGCATGTGCTTAGAGTGGCGAGGAGTGTTTTTTTTTTTTTTTTTTTTGTCTTCTTTCCAATTTCTACTTCTGATCCGACTCGTTATTGACTTAACCTCATCTATACAGTCGCACCGCATGCGCGCGGCGAAAATAGTGAATACTCATCGTTTGGCAATCATCACTGAACACTAACCATCACTACCTATACTACATAAATCGACCTTCAAAAAGAGCTTCTACGTTACTTTTTTCGCTTTTCTACTCACAACAATCTCTATTCTTTCATTGCGGACAGTGACTATTTCTGTTAGCAAAAACGAATCAGCGAGAGACGAGCATCGTAAGTGGCGGAGCTTAGCGATGTGCTCGCCGTCCTTCATACCTTATATCCTTGAAAGCTTTATGGCGTGCTTGCAATTTCCTTTTTCCGACTAAATAGTCTATACTGCGAACTCACGAACCTCGTAGCACAACATCAAATCGAAGTTCGCGGTCTACTTGCGCCCTCTGATCTCTCGCGACGTCAAGACTGACTCCGCACTCACAGCTCTCTGTCTCTCAGGTAACCAACATCATCACTCTATACCACTCATCCCGCACGGTCTCATCATGTTAGATCCGTTCTCCCGCTGTCTGCTTTGACTCTTTGGCAGAACCAAAGTGTCTGATATGACGCTGCTTAATGTACTTCTACTAATCTTCTAGTTCCTTTTGTTCCTTGTATTGTATTCCAGGCTTGACTTGCTTAATTTGCAACTTTTCGGGTTATGTACTATGTCTATGCATGTGCTTAGAAGTTTGCGAAGGAGTGTTCTTTTTTTTTTTTTTGTGGGGAATATTGATTCTTCAGGCAATTATAAAACTGAAGAAGGAAAAGTGCTTGAATTTGCCTTGGATATTAAGAAATAGATTCATGGGCTGAGAAGTTTATAACTTTTGTTATTAAGTTCTTTGGCCTTTTTCAGACATTAGAAAATGGAAATTAGTCTCTTGTCGGATATTCACGCGCAAGTCTCTCAATCTCTAGTGTAAAGTGTTTAGTAATTTAGTTACCGCTTTAATTTTTTTGTCCATTTGAAAATTTTTTTTTTTTTTTTTTTTTGGGGAATTATTGATTCTTGGCAATTATACTGAAGAGAAAAGTGTTGAATTTGCTTTGGATATTAAGAAATAGTTCATGGGTGAGAAGGTTTTTATTTTTGTTATTAAGTTTTGGGCCTTTTTCAGACATAGAAAATGGAAATAGTCTCTTGGGTATCAGGAAGTCTCTCAATCTCTAGTGTAAATGTGTTTAGTAATTTAGTTACCGGCTTTAATTTTTTGTCCATTTGAAAACAAGCAGAAAGGACTGCTATAACTGAATTCTTACTTTTGTGTCATCTCACTGAACTCAATTATTGATCACATTTTGTTGATGTGAACTCTGAACTTCAGTTTGGTTCTTTTAGGTTCTCTTAGTTTTGATATGAAGATTATTTAGCTGCCGGTAATTACCTGCTACTAGAATTCTGTTGGTAGAGAATATCAAAATTCAGTTCAAAGTAATCAGAGATTCAGAATGCAAGTTGAATCTACCTTAAGGTTCAAAACCTAACAGAGCTAAAACACATTGAGGATTATGAATTTTGGTAAACTGCATATCAATATATGTCTGTTGGCATTTATGTATAAAGAATGCTGCATTTCTTTGTTATTTCCTTTATTTAATGTCATTTGAAGATTAACATGACTTTTTATATTCTCCAATTATTTAGTAATTGTGGTAGTTTCAGATATCATTCGTGTTTCTCACTATAAATTGAATGTTATAATTGCCAGCTCCAAAGGGGTTATTTCCACCAGAACCTGAACATTATAGAGGACCAAAACTAAAGGTGGCTATTATTGGGGCTGGGCTTGCAGGGATGTCAACTGCAGTGGAGCTATTGGATCAAGGTCATGAGGTGTTACTCATCATACTCTGGAGAGCCTTCTGATACCATCTTGATCACTTATATATTTGTTTTCCACATTTTTTTATCCAATCCCGTCGTCTTGATCTCTCATATATTTCTTAGGAAATGTGTGTGTTTACATCACCAATGTTCAAATTATGTACCATAAACATCTTTCTGCACTTCTCATTGCTCAGAGAAAACATTGTTATATATTTCCAAAAGTTTGTTCCATATGGAAGCTCGCATTCAGTATCTTAAATAATTTTTTTTCTTTCAGGTGGATATATATGAATCAAGGTCTTTCATTGGTGGTAAAGTGGGTTCATTTGTCGATAAACGTGGGAATCACATTGAAATGGGACTTCATGTTTTTTTTGGCTGCTACAATAATCTCTTCCGTTTGATGAAGAAGGTCAAGAATGTTTGATTGTAATATGACATTTTGTGATTGAAGTTCACTTATCCTTACCAACCTAAAAAAAAAAAAAAAAAGAAAATTTAAATGTAATATTGACATTTTGTGACTTGACAGTTTCACACCTTATCCTTTACCAACCTAAAACAAAAAAACAAAAAAATAACATTAAACTGTGAAATATATGACCTTTGTCCCTTCATGTTCTCTATGTTATAAGTGGATTACCTATCACCTTTTGCAAGTTTGAAGCTCTGTTTTCTTTTTATTTTAGATCCAAAAAGTTGACAAGATCACGTTCTTCTATTACTATATGGCTGGCTGGAAAAAAAAAAAAAAAAAAGTAAATTTAAATGTGAAATATTGACTTTGCCCCTTCATGTTTCTCATGATTATAAGTGATGATAGTTCCCTTTTGCAAGTTTTGAAGTCTGTTTTCTTTTTATTTTAGAAAAAAGTTGACAAGTCCACGTTTCTATTATCTATATTGGCTGGCTGGGATTAGTAATGAAGAGACCTGTTAGATTCCCAATTGTGTTTATTACTTTTTAGTGAACTAACTATCTGTCACTCTCTTGTATCTAATTTTGGTGATATTATATTGCTGTATGGTCATATGTTGTTTGGAATTGTACTTTGTGGGCATGGAAGTTCTTGTGCTATTTTTTTGGATGATTAATGTTATAAACCATACGATAATTCTTTTTGTGAAAAAACAACTATAATAATTAAATATAACTTTGATGATGATTGTAATTGTACCATCATCCCTCAAAATTAAATTTTCTTATAAACATAAAGAGCTACAATTTATTTGACCTCTAAATTGTTCTTCTTGAATCTCTGCTTGAGCTTAGGTGGGTGCAGATAAGAATCTACTTGTGAAGGATCATACGCACACATTTGTGAACAAGGGGGGTAAAATTGGTGGTATGGTTTAATGCTTGATCTTCTTTGGTCAAATATCAACTTAAAATAGTTATTTGTCAAAGTTCAATTTTTTTAGTCTGAACTATCATGGCAATTGTGTTGTGTACTATCAAGAAATCCTTTGATTATTTTCACTTGGATTGCAGAGCTTGATTTTCGATTTATGATTGGAGCTCCATTACATGGGATTCGGGCATTTTTGTCTACAAATCAGCTTGAGGTACTCTTTACTAATATTGCCCATCCTGAATTTTATTACTATGTCCATTTCTTTTGTGCGACACCAACTAGGTTGGGACTCGGGATTGATGTTGAGATGTGTTAAATATCTATTCTTCGTTTGGTAGTAGCAATGCTCTATCCTTTATGTCTGGCTATGTTCTTAAGCTGAAATGTTTCTGAATAAAAGTCGCAAACTTATATGCTACCACATGGGCAAACACATCACTTTCTTGTCCAATATTGACATAGTGATTGCTGCATTGAAAGCATAATTTTTATGTCTACTGGTTCTCTCCATTAATTTGTTGCTTTTTTACTTGCCTTTGCCAACCTCTGCAGCTTTATGATCTTTAGTGAAACCATTACAATCACATAAGAATTTAAGGGGCTTTTATTTAACTATATGGTTTCAACGAGTGCCTAATTTCTTGCTCCATTGCGAATTTGCAATGCTCTTGATGCATTTTCTCCTGAATGTTGTTGAAGTGCAGCCATATGATAAAGCAAGAAATGCTCTGGCTCTTGCCTTAAGTCCTGTTGTGAAGGCCCTTGTCAATCCAGATGCAGCAATGAAGGATATAAGGAATTTAGATAGTGTAAGCACTGTTTTATTGTTATATTTAGGTTTTGAAGAGTTGCTGGTGACATTTCTTTCTTCACTATTGTCATTTAATTGAAACTGCATTTAATTCTTCCAGATCAGCTTCTCTGATTGGTTTTTATCAAAAGGCGGCACACGCACGAGTATCCAAAGAATGTGGGATCCTGTTGCCTATGCACTTGGGTTCATTGACTGTGATAACATCAGTGCCCGTTGTATGCTCACTATATTCTCATTGTTTGCCACTAAGACAGAGGCTTCCTTACTACGCATGCTTAAGGGTTCTCCGGATGTTTACTTGAGTGGTCCCATTAGAAAGTATATTGAAGATAAAGGAGGCAGGTAGGGCTGTAAGATTAAGGATAAGATGTAGGTTAAAGTTATTACCTGTTGGATTACAATACATTTTTGCTGTTGTGAATTTGGTTATGATGCAATTTTATTGTTGTTTTTGGATTATGATTCATTGTTATTTTCACTTTTGAACGTTCGTTTGAAATTCGTTTGTCTGCTTGACCAGGTTTCATTTAAGGTGGGGATGCAGACAGGTACTTTATGATAGGTCTGCTGATGGAGAAATATATGTCACAGGGCTCGCCATGTCAAAGGTGAATGGCTTTTAATGCTATTTCTCTTAGATAAAAGAACAGTGTTGAGTTTATTTACATGTATGCTTAACAAGTTCTAATCGCAAATTCCTGAATTGATATGGTTCATTGATTTGGCTTAACTTCAAAAGACATTGTTTAAATAAGTACCGATACATTTTCTATATCAAGAGTCTAAGAAGTGGCACTAGTGGTGCATTCAGTCCGCACCTTATAAAACTTATTGCATCGCTACAGTTTCTCAAACATGACAAATATCTACTTCTTTCTCTAAAACATGGATGCACATGTTATGTGCAAGTTCAATTGGAAAGAAAAATAAACTTGTTTTCATTAGATTGGTTCATGTTGGAATTCTTGTTATAATAATAAAGTATTGGTTTTCCTAAGCATGTGAATTCAACATCAAGAATGGTCTATTCATGTAAAATTATTGAAGTTTAGGTCTAAGGTCTTCTAATAATCTGCTGCTGTCTTGTTGCATGAATTAAAAGGAGAAAAGGTTAATTTTGCATATTTTGGCATTGGACATGCATCTGCTCAAAATGTAAAGCTTTTCTCGTTGGAAGATTTTTCTGTAATCAATGGTTTTTTATAAAGAAATGAGACAAGTTAATAATAGAAAGTTTGTTGAGTTTGTACTAAGCTAACATATTGAAGAAAAGAACATGCCGAATGCTATAACTAGAATAAGTCAAAAATAGAGCTCACAAATGTGGTGCAATGCTTGTGTGCGGAACATTCATGAACTGTGTGTGCACCTTATCTATGAGATTTTTCTTTCTTTTTAATCCTTTGGTATCTGTCTTTTGTCTTTTTGGCCATTGTTTAAACAAGACTTTAACAGTGAAAACATTTTTTCATTTCATTGCAGGCTACCAACAAGAAAGTTGTAAAAGCTGATGCTTATGTAGCAGGTATATATTCAAATATTGCTTCCTCCCACATCATAATCGTACTTTCCCTTTCCATGTTAGGGTGATAGTTGTCTCTCATTCTACTGTTCCATTTTCTGGCAGCATGTGATGTCCCTGGAATTAAAAGATTACTTCCATCCCAGTGGAGGGAATCTCAGTTTTTCAATAATATATATGAACTAGTTGGAGTACCTGTTGTCACAGTGCAACTTAGGTATAATGGCTGGGTCACAGAATTGCAGGATCTTGAACGATCAAGGTAATTTTCTTTGCAACTGGCATTCTTAATCTGTAAAATTGTGCTTTTAAACACCACGGCTATTATCTGCTTTTGTGTTACTTTTTCAGACTATTGGATAAATTTTTACATATTCCTTCATAAACCTATTTCTTTCTTTTGGCTGTAGGCAATTGAGGCAAGCTCTTGGTTTAGATAATCTTCTGTACACTCCAGATGCGGACTTTTCTTGTTTTGCAGACCTAGCACTCACTTCTCCAGAAGATTACTACATTGAAGGACAAGGTTCATTGCTCCAGTAAGGGAAAACATGTTACTGTTGTCAATAATACTATTACTTTCTGCTTTTACAATCAAGCAAAGAAATTTATATCATATGTCACCGCAGGCTGAATACTTTAATGGCTTTTAGTTACCACTAGAAAATTCTGTTTGTCAATGATTCCGTAATTTATACTTGTACATTTTAGTTTTATCTTTCTGGAATATAGATTTCTCATAGCACTAGAGATATGCATTCATTATAAACTAAGGTATACACCCGTGACTATTCACTTATAAGAGTTTAAAATTGTAAAACATAATCAGTCACTGAAGAAATAAGAATTAGCTACTATGCATCGAATGGAATCATTTTATTTTTTATTTGCTTGCATGTGTTGACCATATCAGATTCATACAGTTCAATATTTTGTTATAAGATATCATCACGTGACTGTGTCACAATTTGAATAGATTGATTTGGGTTCAGGGGGTCCTTTTTGTTTTTGAAATCTTAGATTGTGTTGTTCTGCATATATGAAATCCAAATAGTCCTTTCTACTATTTATTTTTCAGTTACAAGGGGGCCATCGGCCGTAAACTACAAGATTGCCCCAAGCAAAATGATTATCATCTTTCAAGCTTGCTTTTGATATTCTCATGCCTACCTCACTTTATGCTTGCTTCATATTTAATGTCATATTAGATCATGTTTACTAAAACTATAAAATTTCAGATGTGTCCTTACACCAGGTGATCCTTACATGCCCTTGTCAAATGATGAAATCATAAACAGAGTCTCTAAGCAGGTTCGTAGCTAAACAACATCTTATTATTATTCTGTATCTGAACTGCTTTATTCTGTAAGCTCCATTACACACATTGAGAAGTTATGAAAGAGCTTACATCTGATACCAAATTGCTGCATGATAAATGTCTTAGAATCCTTTTGCATTATTCTCATGATAATTTTTTTTTTTTCAAAAAAAAAAAAAAAAAAAACATCCTTCCAAGCCTGCCTTTGAACATTATTCTCATGCCTCTACCCTCACTTGATGCTTGCTTCATATTTAGATGGTGTCTATATTAGCATCTAGTGTTTACTAAAACTAATAAAATTTCCCAGATCAGTGTCCCTTACACCAGGTATCACTATACATGCCCCCTTGCGTCAAATGATGAAATACATGTAAACAGATCTGCTATACCGTGCAGGTTCTTGAGCTAAACCAACATCTTATTTATTATTCTGTATCTGAATCCTTATTCTGATAAGCCCTCCCATTACCACACATTGAGAATTGATGAAAAGAGCTTACACTCCTCTCGGATAACCAAATGCTGCATGATAAAATGTCTTAGAATACCGTTTGCATATATTCTCATGATAATTCTTTTTTTTGTTCAAAAAAAAAAAAAACAAAAAAAAAAAACAGGTTACTCGGCTTTATTTCCATTCACTCCCATAGGCTTAAGAAGTTACTCTGGTCATCTGTAGTAAAAATTTTGTGGAGGGCGGCAATCCTTATATCGCGAGGAACCCTGAAACAAGATCCCTTCAGAGCCAGACTCAAAAGACAACCCTGTAAAAATTCTGTCCTGTTTTTTTTTTTTAAAAAAAAAAAAAAAAAAAAACAGGTTCTGGCTTTATTTCCATCATCCCAAGGCTTAGAAGTTATCTGGTCATCTGTAGTAAAAATTGGGCAATCCTTATATCGCGAGGGACCTGGAAAAGATCCCTTCAGACCAGATCAAAAGACACCTGTAAAAAATTTCTTCCTGTCTGGCTCTTATACAAAACAGGTAATTCACCTTTTCCGCAACTGTTACATGTCTCCCACCAATTTTTTTTTTTTTTTTAATGTAAAAAAAAAAAAACACACATACACACTGAGGAAGCATACAACAAAAAAGGGAAGGATATATGACTATTCTTTAGTTTCCAGGAGTATGCTTTGCTTGGAAAATGATTTTGGCTAAAACAGATATGTTTTTTCCTTGAAAATTTTAGAAGGCTGGAGAACAATTCTAAGTTTACAGCCAATGGAACCTTGTGATATCTTCGAGATTTAGATTTCCTGTTATTATGTACTAATTTGTTAATAGTGAATATGGTATTAAGACTTATTGTTCGATATTGAACAGGATTACATAGACAGCATGGAAGGAGCAACTTTATCTGGTAGACAGGCTTCAGCATACATATGTGATGCTGGTGAAGATTTGGTAGCATTGAGGAAGAAGCTTGCTGCCATAGAATCTCCAGAAATCGGGCCGTCTTCTCCAGTCACTGATGAGCTGAGTCTTGTATAATAGGTGGTAGCAGATACCTTCTTTTTTCTTTTTTCTTTTTTTTTCTTTTTCCTTATTTATGTAAAATTGAAATGAAATATATTTTGCCAATATAAAAATTAGTTTCAAACATCATAACCAGCATCAAACACAATGAGCAACTGAATTACACTCTAGTAACATTTATTCATAGTCCCTGCTTCTGATATACAAATTTTTATCTATGTATTAACATCCAAACAAGGATACTGACCAACGGCAAATTAAAACAGACCTCATCTCCATACTCTCAACATACAGATGACTCAATTAAAATAATCAAAGAGCCAAACAACAAACACATAGCAGGCATTATACAAAAGAAAGACAAACACAGCTCAAAATCCTTACTTTATCCACTGAAATCCATCCTCTGCTTCTTTCTCGATAGCACTTTTAGCAACTTCAAGATCTTCATCAAAGAAAATATCCCACTGCCCTTCCCACTTGATGAAAAACTCAGTATCCTCAAAATACTTGACTCTATGCACATCCCCAGCTGGAGTAAACAAATAATCACCAACAACCAAATCATATTTCGTCTTCTTGCTCAAATTCCACACTCTCTTGCTTCCTTTAATCACCACCAAATCATGCCCAAATGTATGGTGATGTGCTGGCTCTACACTCCCTGCTTTAAAGCTTACAAAGGCTGATGTTGGACTTTCCCTTACTATCTTCATCGAACCACCTGGAATTATGTCAATAGGATCTAGCTTTCTGTTCTTGACTAAACAACATAAAGCACAAGGATTTAAAGTTGACGTTTCTTCTTTCTTATCTTCTTGTCCAATTTTTGGCATTTCTACAAGAGAGTTATCAAGAAAAGAAGATATTTCTTCATTATAAGGAGTGGAACCAAAAGCAGGACATGGAGCTTTGAAAGGAGTATTAAGCCAAGCGTCAAGAATTTCTATGCCAGATTCTGGAGTTGTAGCCAGGCCGGATACGGCGAGGACATTGCAATTGTTAATAGATCGAGTGTTGATTGCATCGGCGGTGGAAAGACAGGTGTTGGCGAAAACGCCGGGGAATTTGTTGGCGAAGATGGAGACACCAACGCCAGTTCCACAGGCGACAAGACCGCGGATTTCAGGAGAAGGTGAGGAAGGAGATTTGGAGTTGGCAGCGGAGACACGGCGGCCGACCTCGGCAGCGATTGAGTAGTAGGAGGAAGTGCCAAGGTCTTCGACGTCTATGTTGAGAGATCGGAGGTGAGAAACGAGAGCGTCTTTTAGAGTGCAGCCGTAAGCGTCCGCTCCAGTAATGACTTTGAGAGGCCGCGTAGTGGTGGTGTTGGTGGCGGTTTCGGCCATTTGTTGTGGTTGTGGCTTGGAGATGGCGAATGGGAGTGATGAGTAAGTAGAGTGAAGAGCAGAGCAGATAAGATGAATCGGGACGGTTTTTGTCGATTAGTCTGATTTTTTTTGTCAACAGAGACGTTTCCCAATCTTCAGAGAAAGATTCTGTCATAAGCCATAAAAAATATTTGAAATTGGGCCCGATATTGCACTATTGGACCTCGTGTAGGCCCACTAAACTTAATTCTGAAGTCATCGTTCTCAATAAAAATCCACCTAAAAATCCAAATTACTATTTAATACTTTCAACTGCATTGAATCGGTTCTAATTCGATTTAATTTTAATTATTTTTCGTAAATTTTGAATTTATTTTTTGAGTTCAATAAAAAAATTAAATTGAATTAAAAAAATTCAGTTTTCTTTATTAAAATCGAAATAAAATTGATTTTGTAAAACTTTAAACCGAATTGATTTTCCAAAGACTCAAAGTTGTACCATGTTAAAGGAAACAGAGAAAAAAAAGTATAAAAATAAAATTATTTTTTAAAATTAAAGATTTCTGTTAAAAACCGAATTGAACCGTTTTGTTCCTATCCCGGTTTATTCCGCCGGGTTGAGGACGAGGGTCTAGGAAGGATAAGACCACACAAGTCCGATACCTGATTAACCGTTGATGTCCGACTGGGAAATGGCGGGAAGCTATTCCCTCACTCCAACCTTGTTCAGGGTACCAAAACTTAGAAAACAAAATCAATCATTAGACTTAAATATCTCCCTCTTCCTCTCTGAGTTATCTATCTCTCGCCAATTTTGCAGAGAATTCATTGTATGCGATGCTTCTCAGGCACACCAGGACCAGGCAATGGAAACTGGAGAAGAATTGATACTCAACCTAAAACTCCAAAAATTTTGAAATTGGCCGTCACTGGTGTCACTGAGCTACTAAGAATCTTCTCCTTCTCCACTAAAGACAGGTTGGTTCACCTCTCCCTTTCCTTAATAACTCTTTCTCATTTTCTTTTACTTCACCTATTTGTATTTTTTTTTTTTTCCCTTTTCCTTTGTTTAATATTTAGGGTAAGCTATGAAGAGAGAGACGAGATATTTGTTTCAGGTATTGATGATGTTATAATGATCCTTAAGGCTGATTATGAGAATGCTTATTTTGTCACAGGTACTTAAATTTTTTTCACTTTGTATCTTCTTTAGGTTATTTTTGAGTTTTGCCTGTGTCATTGGTGCTTTCCTTTTTCTTTGCAAGTAGGGATTTTTACTTCTGCAATTTATACTGAAGATTGTATCTTTGAAGACCCTACTATTAGATTCCGAGGTTAGAACTACTATGACTGTTCTATGCGTTCGATAAAATGCTTCTGCTTGAATGATTTCTCTAATTTGTTTGTGAGTTGGAAAACAGAAATTGCTATATTACCTCGTTCCTCCCTGTCCCCCTACATTTACCTGTTTTTTCTTTCTTGCTTAATTTCAACTTATGGTATTCTACTCAAGCAATGTGGCATTCGTTCTCCACTCTCTTTTCTCCCTCTCTCTATATATCTATTTCAAAGACTGCACTAAAGAATTTCTAGTTTCTTTGAAAGGATGTATGATAATATGAAAGTATTTTTGCAGGTACAGAGTTATATTCGCGCAACTTAAAACTGTTGGTTCCTTTCTTTGACTCTCCATCAATTGGATTACAAAATATTGAGAAGGTAACCGCTCTCTATTAACTGATATATGGGTTACATAAATCAATTTGATATCAGTTGTACTCTTTCAGTATATGATGCACCTTAAAGCAGGTTGGTTATTTTGAACCAGTCCTTAGGAGATTTGCATGTTAGCCATGAACCAGTCAATTTAAAGCTAAACAATTCATCTCTGCTTCTGTCCCGAACTGGGAAAATTTTTTTGAGAATGAGAAAGACTAGATAGAATTGGTTTTTAAAATCTCGATTTTTGATCTTACACTGAATGCCTTCATTGCCTAAACAAAAATAATATCAGGATGTTCCGTCTGAAAAATGATCAGCTCTTTGTCAAGCAACTTCTGATCTAGAACTTGTATGAGAATGTCAAAGTAAGAAAGAGCTCTTTGGCAAAGGATTCAAATATAATATACTGTCCTGTCTCCAGTGCTTCTTTGCTCATTTTAAGAAAGTAGTCACCTGATGGCTTAGACAAGAAAATAAAATATTAGACAGGTTCTAGGTCATGTTATAATTTGGAGAAGGGTCTTAATCATTTTCAGTTCTAAGGAATCCACTTTTTTAAAGACCATTTTTTCATATTGTGAATTAGTATTGTGTTCTTAAGCATTGTGAGGGATTTCACAATGTTTTATGTCTTGGGTACTTTTCCTTTACCCTTGAAGTATGCACTTCTCTTTGTTTTAGCATATAAACATTCAGCGACCCTTTCTGTTCCATTGATTGTACTAGACTTACAGGTTTCTGATAGATGTTTTTCTCAGGCTAAAGGTTATGTATTCAGCATTTCACAGCTCATTAAATTATTGTTCCAAGTCTGTGATTAAGGGGCTAACATCATGAATTTTGTGAGATAAGATCATGGCTTATGAATTTCAACATTTTATTATTTTACGGTTCATTAACCTGTTCTACACATCACGGCAAGGGTGGAAATCTTCAATTAATTTTTCCTATTTTGTGACAAACAAGCTAACATTGTGGATTGAATAACCTTAGTTTGTGATGTCAGATATCTGTAATGTCAACATCATGGTATAGAAATGGCATATGCTTCTAACAGCGGCAGCAGCACATAATTAAAGTATTCAACTCTTAAAACATCTTGGGATGAGGCATGCTTGGAGATTTTGGTGTTGTGGTAGACAAATGTGAAGGAGCAATCGATGCCTACTTTGAATAATCAAGCTTTATTATCCTTTGGGATGGATCCATTTTCAGTACAGCTTATGAATTTGAAATCATTTATAAGTGGATAATTAAGGAAAAAGAAAGTTGCACTACTGCATAGAATGTGAGAGAAGGAAAAAGAAAGTTTACAAAGCAATCATGTGAACAAATACATAGTTATATTAGATAAGGTGGTTTCTGGCTCAAGTATTGAGATCTTTTAGATGTTGAACCACCTTTAAGACCTTTTAACATCTCTTTTTTACGGCTATTTGATCTTATGAGCTCGTGGATCTGGCAGGCGCTGCTCATCTGAAATGAGATCATGAATTTTTCTTATTGTTTCCATTCTTCTTCTGCTAAGGATTCTTATGTTGCAGGGTATCAATTCAGGAACTAATTTTGTGCAGGCAACTTGGAAGCTAAGGTGCCTAACTTTGTTATCTATGTTTTTATACTGCGGTCAGGATAACTTAGGTGAAGTAGTTTTCCTTTTTGCCATCGATTGGCTCTGGCTAGGGAGGGGGAAGATTTATTCCAGATTTGAAGCTTTTCTTTTCTGTCTTTTGTTGATTAATAACCTTTTGCTTACCCACACGCACATATACACGCAAAGGGGAAAAAAGTTGCATCATAGTTAAATGTATGCAGATTGTATATATTTTAAGGAGTACTATGTTAGCTTTTTTGAGTTACCAAAAGGTCTCCCTTCATCCCTAATTTTCTGGCCCTACCAATGCTCCAACATACTTAAATCTGATAGTTATTAGGAATTTATTTGTCTTTAGGCATATGTCTTGAAATGTGTGAAATTGGACTAAAAATGGCTGAAAAAGGACAAAAAAGGAAAAAGAGAAGAAATGTACCAAAGAGATAAAGAAGCTTGTTGCTGCTTGAAATTTTTGCATTTGAAAGAAAAAAGGTAACTGTGTGGTCACCATGCAAATTTATTGAGAAAACTATCCTATAAACTTCCATTTTGTTTTTGGCTTGATGCCCTCTAACATAAACTTCCATGGGTGTGTAATTGGGGCTAATTTGAATATGTTACTCATGCATTTGATAAACAATAGACAATCTCTGTATAAAGGACTACATGGATTAGTTTATCATGTTCCATACATACTCTAAAATAATTGTTTGTTTCCTTGCCTAAAGAAGTTCTTCCTTTCTTTCCATTGAAATTCTCTTGCATCTCACACCATAAGTTATCCTGCTTTCTTAATTGTTCTGAATTGGATTATCTGATTTGCAGAACCTACCTGAAATTTCCATGGAGGCCTTTAATTTCCATTGATGGAAGCACCCTTTACGAATTAAATGATGAGTTTAAAGTAAGATAAAAAACTTTATTCTCTATTTCTTTCTTCTTCTCCTCCCCTTCCCCTCTTTGCGCTTGCCTTTGTGTATCTTTGAACTTCATTTTATGTTTAGAGTGCGAATATTTAGGAATGGTAGCAATTTTTACTTTGACAGATTATTCGGCATGCTGAGAGTTGGAATGTTTCAGCATTTGAAGCAATTGGCCAAATATTTACCACTAGCTTTGGGAGACCAGATGATTAATTAATCCTTAGAAATCTGAAGCTGCTGTGAAGTACATATGCAACTTATTTATTTCCAATTATTATTAGGATTGCCAGGGTAAAAAATAGTTGCATAAAACATTACCTTATTCCTTGTAATTTAATGGCCACTCACTTTTCTGGCAAAACATGCCTATACTTCATGGATGTATGAAAGACAGATAAGATGGTTTTTTCCCCTTAATTTGGAAGTGCATGACATGTGTTTTAGCAACGAACTAGCAGTCTTATTTTATAATTGGCCTTTTCACAGTGGTTTTTGATATATAATTGTGAAGGACAGAAGCATACTATTGTAATGATGGCAGGGACAGTGTCACCAAGAACAGGCGCGCGCGCGCGTGTATATATATCTATATATATATATATATATATAGAGAGAGAGAGAGAGAGAGAGAGAGAGAGAGCGAACTAGCAGTCTTATTTTAATAATTGGCCTTTTCACAGTGGTTTTTGATATATAAGTGCAAGGACAGAAGCATACGTATTGTGAATGATGGCAGGGACATGTGTCACCAAAGAAACAGGCGCGCGCGCGCGGTGAATATATTCTGATAATATATGATTATATATATATAGAGAGAGTAGAGAGAGAGAGAGAGAGAGAGGAGGTTCTGGAGGACTGGTATAATTAGTGCTTCTATGCTATTGCGCGCAGAAAGTCTGGGTGCTTTTAATAAAAAGAAGGTAAGGTAACCTGCCTAAGATTTTCAAGTGCTTTGGATGCAAATAAAAAATAGAGAGAGAGAGAGAGAGAGAGAGAGTCTGGAGGATGTATAATAGTGCTCTATCTATTGCGCGCAGAAAGTCTGGTGCTTTATAAAAAAAGGAAGGTAACCTGCTAAGATTTTTCAGTGCTTGGATGCAAATAAAAAATAAAAAATGATGCTGGTAGTAGTGCATGCGCGCCTGGTTACAATATTTCTTTCTTTTTTTTTTATTTTTTTTTTCTAGCTGTTGGCCTTGTGGGCCTAATGAATGACATTTTGGATTTGTGTTCTTGTCTTCTTGATGTGTTTCTTTCTTCTAACAACAATTTGAACCTACTTCTCAGAGTTGGATGAGTTTTGCTGGGAAAAGATGATTGCTAGTGTCTACTATACTACTACTTGCTCCATTTCTTGACTCTGGATTGAGCTGGAAATTGCTCCACTTTCTTTAATGAAGTAAAATAATTACTAATTAAGTTTAAAGTTTGAACTTTGATAAATTTGAAAAATAAATAAAAAAATTCGTAAGAAGTTGCATTGTATACATTCAATAATATTGTGAAAGTAATTAATGAACAAAACCCTTAAGGAAAAAGAAAATGAAGTTCATATTCAAGCATTTTGCACATAATATTAACAAAAATAATCACGTACAGAAAATTTAAATAGAAAATTTTAATTTTCAAACTTTAATCCCTCCTCCAAGCGTACAACAACAAAGAGAAACCCCCGTTACTTCCACATGACCTAGTAGATGAAGAACATGAACTTCTCCCACAGTCACTACTCTCTTCTGCCCATTGTAACACACTAGAGCACGACGGCGACGGCGATAATGACATTGCCGCCGGCGAACCTAACGTGTGCCCTACCGATGACAAGCTCTTCCTCATCAACCTCTTCTCTGGACCTATCATTTCAGGCCATACCCCACCTTCACCAACTTGAAAAATAAAAACACCATGACCATTACTATTAGCACCATTATTATTGTTAACCCAGTTAAAAACATCCCAAAAGAATTCTACTTCCATTCCACCAACAAAAATTCTCTCGTTGCCTCTAAATTTCCATATTAATCTTTTTACAACAAGACTAACATCACCATCAACTTTTACTATGAGCAAACCCCCTTTATATTCTATTCCAATTTCATGTTTTGACCCCAAGAACTTAACTCTAGATATGTAACTCTTGCGTCCAAACACATGCTCCCTCTTGGATAACAGGTTCGGGTCACCTAATTGCGGAGTCATGACCAACCCACATCGCCGAGTCAACTCAGTGGGAAGATCACCAAGAAAGAATTCTAGTCTTGCATTGCAAACAATGGCAATGTAGAAACATGATTCTGGCTCCGCTGAGTTGTGAGTGAACTCAGCACGAGTGAAGTCCCAATAAAGTTTGATTCTTTGGTAATGATGGTGGGTCAAGTAGATGGATTTTGAACCGGTTTTGGTTCTAAAGAAAGAGAAGGTTGATGGGGAGAGGGAAATGGTGATGGAGAAGGAATCTGCAGCATATATAGTTAAGGTATGAGAAAAGAGGGCTTTTGACCAAGTAAGAGTGAGATAAGTAGGGGAATTGCAGAGTTGAGTTTGGTATATGCATGTTATTATACTTTGAGGCACTTGAGAACCACTTGAGAGTGTGTTGGGGTGGCTGAAACATGCTGGGATCATGGTGTTCAATCTTGTTTGTATCGTTATATCCTTCAACAAACAATTCAACAAGCTTCTTGTTAACTTGTTTTGAGTTGGGTTTCTTTGGGCTTTGTAGTTTGGCATGGGGGTAGGGATAGCAATGTATGGGATAGAAGAGACTGCTCTGGGATTGATGGCATCTGTCCTTTTGAAGTTATTGAGGGTATTGATGCACGTAACTATAGCTTGACAAGGTATAAAGTTTATTATGTCCCAACCCACAGAGTTTGTTCAAACTTGAAGGGACTCGGGAGGTTGGTCTAACTTGAAAGGATTCAGGTCTTTTAAGTAAAAAGTCTAGTGTTCGATGAGAGTGTTTAAACTTAGCACAATCGACTTTGAGTTAATTTGAAAATATGTTTCAATTTCAATTATCTTTAAGCGATTAATCAAGCTGATCAGAGGAAAAGTATAAGCAAAAAAGTGGGTCTTTTTGAAATTTAGAAATGATGAAAGCACAAGGGGATTCCATAATAGCAATCATTAGCAGTAGCAGCTAGGTATTTTCAGCTTAAAGTTGTTTTTCCTTGATTTGCGCCATTGAAAGGGCTTTTCAAAGTCTTTATTATTTTCTTAAACAGACATGAGCTGGGTTGCACTTGCACTGCCCTTTCTCTCTCAGTCAAGTGAATGTATATGCATTTTTCTTTCTTTAATACTTGGGAAAGGTCTAGCCCTTTTTATATTCCTTTCTTTCCATTTGCCATCTCAAAGGGAATGAGAGATGGGGCCTATAGAAAAGGTTAGTCCAGTCACTCTGCTGTGCATTTCACTTGAGAGAGAGAGAGAGAGAGTTATCAAGTGGGTTGAGGTTCAAGAGGGCAGGTTTCAGCCTTTTGCTGTTGGAGATGACATATCATTTGTAGACATGTCTGCATGTCACTTTTATCAATTCCTTCCTTTTATAATTCTAGGACGAAACTGGCAAATTTATTAAATTTTATCAATTTCATTCATTTATGCTATGTTTTTTTTTTTTTATGAAATATTTATGTACAAAGAATATATTATAAATCTGCACTGACTGACCTTACTTTATTTTAAGAAACTACTTTAATATAAAAATTTAAACATAAAATTAAAAAGTTTCAAGAATTAGTTTTAGCTGTCCAACAGGAATTAAATCTATTCATAGATTAATTTTGTATTTTAAAAAAATGGAAATTTTCAGATATTTAATTAATAAATTTTCTAAAAATTGAGTCCTGACACCAACATGTCTAATCAAAACCTATGCATATATTATAGTCCAAATTCATGATTTTTTTTTTTTTTTTGTTCACAAATTTATAGTATTTTGATTTTAGACATTGTTCTTTCTCTTCACTTGAATAGGAAAGACATTTGTTTTTTTTTTTTGAAAAGGCAAGAATTAGGAATAAATGTTTGATGATGATGTGGATTAAAGCATTTTAAGCAGCCCAAAATGCCCACAATTGAATAAAGTAAGTAATTCCAAATTTCATCTTTAAACACTTGCTAATCATATTTTCAAACTTAATTAAAGTGAATGCTCATAATTAAAGCAGTAACTTTTATTTTTTATTTTTTTATATTTTTTTTCTTTTCCTTAACTTTCTTTAATCATTGGTTACTAAATGAAAAGGGTGTTGCTGTTGCCTTCTCTTTCTTTAGATTCCATCTTTAATTCTTTATTTCTCAAGTTCTTTATAACATTAACCAAAAAGAAACCCTACCCTCAAGAAAAAAAAAAATTGAGAATAAAAAAAAAAAAAAAACCTCCTTTTTCATTACAAAATAGCCAAAATTATGCCTTTAATCATATAAGAATGTGCAATTCTGCCTCTTTTAGCCAAACAATAATGCAAGAAAAAGAACAACATATATACTTAACAAGAAAAATGACAAGAATATCCAAGTTTTGCCAATATAAAGAAAATTATATGCAATTGATCATTACATTTTTCTTTTTCCTTCTCTATCTTGATGAAGATTGATATTTATATAAATCAAGAATTGAAAATGCAAAGAATTGCTACACAAAAGCGACAAAATTCATTTGTGGGCATGTTCATGTTCAGCAGCTTTCATGAGCAAGCTTTTTGTATCAAGAGCCATTAAAACTGGAGAATTACCAATTCCACGAGCCATAGCAAACATAATCTCTGCCATCAACGACTTAAATTCTTGAGGATCAATACTACCATTTTTATCTTCATCAAATCTTTCAAAAATTGCATCATAAAGATCATTCCTTTCTTGTTTTGCTCCCGATTCGGATTCTACTGAAATTAGCTTATAAAATCCTTCATAGAGTTCATCGCGAGAAATTGCTCCATCTCCATTAACATCGAGCATTTCAAAATACTCCTTAACACAAATTTCGAATGCATTCCCATCTTTCATAAATTCGATCAATGTCAGTCCGTTGATAATAGCTAAACTCATAATGTTCTTGATCTAAGTACAAGCATATTATATTCTGATTCTTCTTTTGAATCAGCTTTTTATTTTTTATTTTTTTGGTTGATTTGTTGATGTTATATATATATACATAAGCACATTTGCTTTGCTCCTATACTTAGGGTGTTTGTTAGTTCCTAATGGTTGATTAGGATTTATTTTAGAGGAATGAGCCATTAGATTTAGAGTGTGTTCATATAATTCTTAGTCTTGTTACGTGGCATTTTAATTTCTAATTAATTTATTTTATTTTATTTTAAACTCAAAATAAAATAAAATAGGGCTTACTTTTCCCAAAAATAAAAAATAAAAAAAAGAATAAAATTGGGCTTAAGTAAATTAGCCCAAGTAACCCTGGATCGGCCCAAATAATATTTGTAGAAAAGGTAATGAAAATATTTAAACTTGAAAATAACCATTTGTACCATTCAAATGAAAATTAACATTTTTTTTCAATTACTATACATTATATTGTACAATTAAAGTAAAAAAATCGCATCTCACTAATTTAATTTTTTCCTACTCTTCAATATCCTATTTACTTTTATTTCTCGATGTATTTCAGTATCAGGTTTTTTCACTCAACTCTCTCCGGTTAAATTGAGTGTAGAAAAACCTATTGATTCAGCATTAAAACTTTGAAGCCTGTTAAGCTTTTCATAATTTTAATAATAAAAGAATATTTTTTGGCTGTTAAAAAAAACAATTAAAGTTCAATATTCAAAAAAAAAAAAAAAAAAAAAAAACCCTTGGACCTGTTACTTTCAAATTTTAATAATAAAAGAAAAATAAGCTGTTAAAAAAAAAAAAAAAAAAAAAAAAAAAAAAAAAGAATGACAAGGTTTAATTAATTAATAATGCTTCTCTAATTAAGTACAAATATATACGGTTCTTAAGGTTTATTATTAGTCTTTTGCTATAATAAAAAAAAATGCAGTCCGATATATAAAATAAAGAAAGTCTTTTAGAATTGTTCAAAGTCTTGAGTTAAAAGAAGTAGTAATCCAATTTGATTTTGGTTTGGCAATTTTTTAAAATTAAAAACTTATAAGCCATAGGTATTTGATCAAGCTAAATGTATATTTTTTAAGAAAAACAAAAAATAATAATATTTGAAATGAATAATTATATGATTATTCTTATATTTATTATTTTATTTATTTCAAAGGAAGGGAGAGACCTAGGAATTAGGTGCAAAAATGCATAGGATCCCACTTTTACCCATGCATGCATGTGGATAGCACCCTAACTCCCAAACACTCCACGTGTTTTTTACAATTTCTTCCAAATTATTATTATTATTATTATTTACTCTAAATACTGTGGTCCTAACTAAGAAACCCACAAAACATTCTCATAATTTTTTTAATATTGAACAAAAATCGAACCCATGCAATTTTAACATTGTCAAAAAAAAAAAAAGAAATTTTTGTAAATATAACATATATATATTATAATATATATATATATATATATATATATATATATATATATATATATATTAAGGAAAGAAAAAGAAATTTAAAGATAAAACAGAATAATAAAACATATATTAAGGAAGAAAAAGAAATTTAAAGATAAAAACAAATAGATAACGCCTTGGCCGCACAGATTACACTAAGATTTTGTACACTATGTTGTCCTTGTCAAAGAAAACGTCGGTTTGCTGCTAATCAAGGCTTTAATTGGTCATTAAATTCTTCATTAATTATAGATGAAACGCCACTATTGAAAAGTGAAGACTAATAAGGTCTTTTAAATAATGTTTATTGCTTAATTTACCTTTATATATGTATATCATTTAAGACAAGATAGAAGTCTTGTATAGAGCAAATACATATTTCACGTTAAGGAGTTGTGTCTGCAACTAGAACATACAAAATTGGACGACGCACCTGTCTCTAAAGTCTTGTAATATCTCACATGGATATGGAGCCTCCATATTTAACAGTTACGTGTCTGTGAAATAATTAGGTGATGTTATGAGAATTTTTAATTTTTACCCTTTAAACAGATTTTTTTTTAAAAAAAAAATTTTGCTTCCTTAAATCTTGAAAGTGTGAAACTTTGATTAAAATATAATACATGTCTTAATCTTTAAAATTTTTGATTAAATTTAAAATAATAAAATTAGCATTTGGAGTATCCAAAGTAATAGTATTTGGTTGCACGGTCTTAGGCTTAGGTTTTGGATTCGTCCTTTTTGTATATTTTTGACCTTAATCCACGCTTTCATGTAGAATCAACGACAACTAGTCAAACGAGGAAATTTCTTCTATATAAATTAATTTAAAATTAAAAAAAGTCAAACGAGGAAAATTGAAATTCTCATACCTTCATTCTTATATTTTGCAAAAATGATTGAAATGTTAATTTAAATTACAAAATTACTTCCTTACTATTACAGGACATGCATACAGATGGTTTGATTTTTCTCTTCAGTGTTATAATTACTTTTTTTATTTATTCAAAGTTATACTATTCATTTTCCTTTTTTTTTTTTTAAATGATGATTGGATGTGAATAAATTTTTGATTTGATCAGAGAAAAGAAATTACTATAATATATAAAAACTGATTAATTACTGTATGGTTATAAAATACAGTACAAAAATTTTTTACGCTCTACGGTTCAAAATAATTAAACATATCCATATACTAAAAAAAAAAAAAATGCAAAGATGAAAACAACTTCCCTATCAAGAAAGCTACCATAAGCTAGCTCATTAAGGTGACCTAGTCCTAGAGCCCATTATTATTTTCTAAACATAACTATAAGGGTACCCAAGAATGGACTCTTGCCCAACATCATAGGGCAAAAGCCTCTCCATGATAAGCCCTAAAAAGCTAGGTAAGTTATTATCTAAGTCATTATCAAGACCTTAGATTTCAAAAACCCTACCATAACAACCCTACACCAAACATGTCTAACAATTGCTTGAATGAGATTAGGACAAGACAAAATCCCAGAATGCATTTGATACTCTTATGGTTTTTTTGCATGTGAAGGTCAAGTCCATATTCTCAATACTGTGCCCTAACCCCCGTACGCGACACGTGGCTGCTGCCCTACTTACCTCATTTTGTAGGATCTATTAGAACATGTACTGTTTCTTTCTTTTTTTTTTTTTTTTTTTGCCCTAACCCCCGTACGCGACCACGGGCTGCTGCCCCTACTTACCTCATTTTGTAGGATCTATTAGAACATGTACTGTTTCTTTTGTTTTTTTTTTTTTTTGTCTGTTTTAATTTCAATTTCTTAGAACTATTCAAGCATTATACCGTCAGTACTTGGAAATTTTGGAAGCTTGTTATTAATGCATATATTAAACTTTTCAATTATTTCCAATAAAGCTTAGTTGTTAATATTCCAAATAATTGACACTTGCACTTTAATTTATTAAAGAAAATTACAAATAGATGATTTCAACTTTATAAAAATTTGATATTGGTAAAATTACTCTTTCAGTTATGTTTTTTTTTTTTTTTTTTGTCTGTTTTAATTTCAATTTCTTAGAACTATTCAAGCATATACCGTAGTACTTGGAAATTTTGGAAGCTTGTATTAATGCATATATAAATTCAATTATTCCAATTGAAAGGCCTAGTTGTTAATTATTCAAATATTGCACACTTGCATTTAATTTATAAAGAAAATTACAAATAGAATGGATCCAACTTATAAAAATTTGATATTTTAAAATTACTCTTTCCAGTTATGAATTTGTCTACTTATAAATAAAAATTAATATAAAATTACTTGATTAATGTCGTTATACTTATTCATATTCTAAATTTATAGTAACGTATTTTGAGATAAAATTAATTTTATATTTAAAAAAAATGTGAAAATATTCTCGATATTTCGAATATATATTAATTTGTATTTCCATAATAGAATTTTGGAAATGAAGGAATGTATATACAAAAAAGAATGAGAAATGGATAGAAGTAATATTAGGTAATCATCATATGTATTTGAAAAAAAAGGCTTCATTATTAAACAATTGTATTCCTCAAAAAGAAAAAATAAAATCATTTCATTTGAGAAATTCTAAAACTCCTCTTCCAACGACTCACGTGACCGTCCCTCATCTCACGTTGCGTTTGTCCATTGTTCCTTCGCGCATTAAAAGTTCAAATGTGAACACTTACAACTTAAGAATCTAAGATGACCAAATAGCCAATCAAATCAAGTTTTTAATGGGCTTTTTGGTAATTCAGATTTCGAACCCATATTCCTAATTCATATCGTTTCCAAATTTTTACGGTGGGCCATGCTTTTAATTGAAAAACATATAGGATGTATTGGATAAACCTAATAAATCTAATAATAACAATTAGCGAAATAATAAAAACAGTAAATTTTATATTATTATTTAATAAATTGAAATTGTTTTAGCGTAATAATAAATTTTATCTATTAATTGAAATTATTCTCTTGATTACTACTAAATCTGAATGATTTGATTTCATTTGACTGAAACACCATAAATAATTCAATTGGGTTGAGAAAAATGAGAGTACTTCGTCTTAATTAGATAATTAGTCTTTAAGTTTATACTACATAATACTAGTAATTATTACGTTTTTCGTTTTATGCACGTTAATCATTTTTTAGGTGACTTAATTGTTATGGACTGCACGCATTAGAAAATTTCAGAAGCTTCTTTTTCCACAATAATTTCAAACCTTCCGTGTTTCATAATTTCAATATTTGAAATAAGATTGGTAAATCAGGCTAGAGATTCCTAAAATGGATAAAAAAGGACTACGTGTAATTTATTTTTTATACTATATATTATTTGAAAAATTATACGGCACAATTGAGAATATCGGTATCTTTCTGCTAAGAAAAAATAGGCAAAATGGTAATAAATAAAAATAAATTTTCAATTTGTATGGATGCAATTTTTGCACTAAAATTCATGATTTAATTTACATTAATTTTAGTCCTCAAGGAGTGTCTTAAATCTTTTTATTCTTCATTAAATATTTCAAATTTAAATTTCAATAAATTGAAGTGAAAGACCCTATAATTAAAAAAAAAAAATCATATATGAAGAATTTTATCTTTTGGCCACGTTACAAACTATGTGAATAATTTATATATATAATTAAAAAGAAAACTTTTTAATGAAAAATAATTAAATGATAGTAACTAAAAGAATACTTTGTATGACTTGATTCTTAAAAATAGGATTCAAAGAATAAAAATAAATAATAAAAATAAATTATTTGGTGTCCCTTCTCTCTCATACCAATCTCCTTATAACTTTCAGTATCAAACATGAAAATAACTCATAAAAAAAATCATATATAATCCCAAAAGTTTGGTTTAGAGTCTAAAAAATAGCACACCAATTATATAAACTAAGATTGCAAAGTAAACAATTAGAATTTGGTGCATTCCAATTTAATAGAATTGATTTTTTTTTTTTTTTTATAGAAAAATCATACTAGGATTTCATTAATTAGAAATTATATACATATATGAGATATAGATTAATATATTTCAATATTTTTGTATAGGAAGCCTAATAATAAACTACTTATATAAATAATAAAACACAATATTGATTTGAAGTATCTGATCAAGTTAACAGAGCATAATATTTGTGCCATATGCAATCACTTGCTCCACTTTGTGAATATTTATGGTCACTATTCGGCTTCATGGTCTTCCTACAAGTCCGATATAATTATTTTCAAATTTCTTTATTTTATTAAAGAGGAAATTTGCAATTCTTTCTGCATAATTATCCAAATAATAAAAGATGCTAGATAAAATCACCACAATTATGATAAAAATAACTTAAAACTAGATCTGAAGACAAAATCTCAATATATAGGCAATAATAAATTTCAATATATAGGCGACAATAATTCAGATCTATTTATTATTTGCAAAAACCAAAGCAAAAAGAAAAAAAAAAAGAAAATGAGTGACCACCGATGGCCGTCCGTGGAAGAAAAGAAAGAGATTTTAAGTTTTTAGAGAAAGAAAGAGAGAGGAAATTTGAGGGTTGGTATTAGTAGAATATCGATGAATTGATTTTAATTTTAGGATGTACAATATTCTTATTTATTTTTTATATTATGTTCTGTCAATTAGATATTTTTGAATTAAGATTGTATTTTTTTTTATCTATATATATAAAATTGATTATTGAAATTTATATATAAAATATGTTGTTGCATATACCATATTTATATATGGTTTTATCTTAATGAAAATTTCAATTTAATTTTTTAAAAAAATTTTGTTTGAATTTGCATAAGACAAACCCTCGTAATAAAGTCTAGTGCAATAATAAATAAAAGCAAACGTGGAAAGAATATCCAATCCCCAATCGTCAAAGGATAATATACTGTTTGCAGAGACTTTTCGTTTTTAATTAAAACGTTTAATTACCCTAATTAATTATTAGAAAATAACTTATGTAATTATTATTTACTTCGTAGGTAAGCAATGTATTAATGAAACTTGCAATATAATTATAATAACTGTGCATTTCTTGAAATTAATCTTACTATAACAATTCAACATTTTTTTTTACATAAATTTATATTAAAAAATATTATATGTAGTTTAATTCAATATTTTTCTTTTTGAAAATGGTAATGCCAATATTTTCTTACTTAAATTAAATATTTTTTTGAAAAGTTACTTAATTTAATATTAAAAACATTAGATTGTACTTTACTATAAAAATTACATATTTAAATGGTTTAATCTAAGAATAGAATGAAATGAAAATGAATGTCTAATTTTAATATAAAAATTAAAAATAAAAATAAAAATATAGTTTAATCCTAAAATAAAAATTTAAAAAAACAAAAATTATTCAACTTGACCTGAAGTCTGAAGATGACAGCAAACTGAATCGTATTCTGCTTTTACCTAACACCAAGCCATTTTGCAAACCGTATTAAAGAAAAGTGATTAAGACAAAAAGAGAAAAATAATTTATTTGATGGAATGTATAATTGTCCATTCCTTTTTGTATACAAAAAGAATTATAAAAGAGTTCATTCAGATAATTAAGAATATAAAGAAGTGGTTATTTTTTTTCCTTTTAAAATGAGATATTCTGGATTTATTAATATATTATTTTACAATAATTTCTTAATTAAACTATGAATATAATTTTGTTTTAAAAATGTATAAATATAAATTCAAAATGGTCAATTTAAATTAATTATTATATTACTCAATTTTTTAAGTGATGTTACATTTTTTGCTTTAATCTTTAATGCTATTTTTTTTTTCGTAGAAAAAAAAAATTATGCCAATGTTCTGTTCATTAAGTTAAGTCTAATTCTATTCTGGTTGTTTCAGATTCATAATGGAAAAGCTCTTTCAATAGAAATTTTCTTAATTTTCGATTTATTGCTTTAAGATTTGAGTCATTTTCACTCGGCCTAATATTTTAAATATTCCTTATCTCGTCACTTTATTATATTTATTTTTTTAATTTTACTCTTATATCTTTATTAAATATAAAAATCTATATATTCCAAAAATTTATACTTATTATATCTTTCTCTCTTGCTTAATTACTTATTTTATTTTTCTCTCTTTCCTAATATTTTAGTAACAGAGTAATGAAAAAAATTATCAAAATGGAAATAATAAAATAAAATATAACACATTTAATCAAATTTAAAATATTTTATAACAACATTGATGATTTAATTATTTTTTAGTTACTTTGTAAAAATTAAAAGCCACATATAAAAATCAGTAAGGAGAGTGTTTTATTATTATAAACATGTTGCACATTTAAGAATCAATTGAAATTTAGCTGAGCATCAAATTTGGGTGGGTCCCCTTTTTTTTTTTTTAATCAGACTTTCAGTTTTATTTTTCTTATTTCATTTCTATTTTCCTTTTCACACATTGCAGGCCATCTTCAAAGCCTTTTAACTGAAGTGAAATGAAAATGGCCCACCGTTCTCTCTCTCTCTCTCTCTCTCTCTCTCTCTCAGTTTGTCATGTTCTTTCATGGGGTGGGTGGCTCTGTTAATAAGCATCCTGTGTGCTCTCTTAAAATGTGGCAAAGAGATGCATAACCTTTTGTCTTATAACAAACACACTCTCTCTTATGGGACTCATTGATTACTTCTCATCTGTTTCTATCAAAAAAAAAGAATACAGAAAAGTAACATTTTTTTTTTCTTTTGAGATAGATTATCTTTCTTTATTGCATTTCGTACTCTGACTCAGAGAGAAACCATAACGGGGAACCTAAATTTGCAATAAAAAGAAAGAAAGGAAAGTGCTTTGCCAAAGTAAATTAAAAAAAGGCTTTGGAGAATGAATGGTCTCTCACATCTCGAACCAGATTACTCTGAGTTTGTTGAAGTTGATCCAACTGGAAGATATGGCAGAGTAAATATATACCTCTCCTTGAATCTGTTCTTTCTCTCTGTATTTTTGAGTTTTGAGTTTAATTTTAGGATGTTATTCTGTTTCTTTGCAGTATAATGAAATCCTTGGCAAAGGAGCTTCAAAGACAGTGTATGCATCGAAATTTTTCTCTTTTATGAAATTTCTTGGATTCAATTTCAGAGTCCTCCCTTTTTATTTATTTATTTTTTCAATTTTCTACTTTGCGTTTGCCCTTTGTTTGAATTTGGTGCATACCCATTTGATGTTTTTGGATCTTTATTATGTTTTGTTAAATGTTTGGGATATTTATTTGTTAATCTTTGGATTGGGGCAGTTATAGAGCATTTGATGAGTATGAAGGGATTGAAGTTGCTTGGAATCAGGTCAAGCTCTATGATTTCTTGCAAAGCCCTGAAGATCTTGAAAGACTCTACTGTGAGATTCATCTCCTCAAGACATTGAAGCATAAGAACATAATGAAATTTTATACTTCTTGGGTTGATACTGCAAATAGAAACATCAACTTTGTCACTGAAATGTTCACTTCCGGGACTTTGAGACAGTAAGAAATTGTCAAAAATCTAATGATTCCATCATCCATTTTTGCTTTTCTAATCACTTTTAGATTGTGGGTGGGTCTTCTCTATTATTTATCATTTTAAGTGGGATCTCTTGCCCTTTCTTTTTTTTTGACCTTTCATAGATACCGTTTGAAGCATAAGAGAGTTAACATTAGAGCAGTGAAGCATTGGTGTAGGCAGATCTTGAAAGGACTTCTTTATCTCCATAGCCATGACCCACCTGTGATCCATCGAGATCTAAAATGTGATAATATTTTTGTCAATGGAAACCAAGGGGAAGTGAAGATTGGAGATCTTGGCCTAGCTGCAATCCTTCGAAAATCGCATGCTGCTCATTGTGTTGGTATGCTTAATTGATTCAAGAATTATGAAAGAAGAAATTTCTACTTCTCAAACTAATATTTGCTTCTTGATTCACTTTGGTCTTGTTTGGGTCTATCTTTTATTCAGGAACACCTGAGTTTATGGCACCAGAAGTGTATGAAGAGGCATATAATGAATTGGTGGATATTTATGCATTTGGGATGTGCATTTTGGAAATGGTCACTTTTGAATATCCATATAGTGAATGCACTCATCCAGCTCAAATCTACAAGAAAGTTATATCTGTAAGATCCCTCTCACTCTCTCTCTCTCTCTCTCTCTCCCTCTGCCTCTCTTTCTCCTTTCTTTCTACTTCTCTTTCTCTCTTTGTTTGTGTCTCTCAACGTGATAGATTGAATTCACCTACTATATCATTTTAGGGCAGAAAACCTGATGCTTTGTACAAAGTGAAGGATCCAGAAGTGAGGCAGTTTGTGGAGAAATGCTTGGCAACTGTGTCGCTTAGGCTTTCAGCTAGGGAGTTGTTGAATGATCCGTTTCTCCAGATTGATGACTGTGAGTCCAATTTTAAAACCATAGATTATGGGGTAGAAATTGATGACACGAGTCCTCTCATAAGGCAACCTTATTTGGAACTTCATGACAACACCTATCCCTACAGTAATGAATACTCAAATGGATATGGCTACGAGGCTCAAAATGAATTGGAATATCATCTAATTGATTTTGGACAAAGTGGAATTGAGCTTTTCGAGTATCATGATGATGAACATTCAGCAAACCTTGACATAAGTATAAAAGGGAAGAAACAAAGTGATGGTGGAATCTTTTTAAGACTCCGAATTGCAGATAAAGATGGTTAGTAAACGTTCTATCATCTTTATTTTACTTACTATTTTCTTAAATTGTTTTCCATTCTTCCCCAGTGAATGTTCAATATAGTACTTTATTTTCTCCTTGCAGGTCGCATCCGAAACATATATTTCCCATTTGACATTGAAACTGATACAGCATTGAGTGTGGCCACTGAAATGGTTGCAGAACTTGATATTACTGATCAAGATGTGACTAAAATTGCAGATATGATTGATGGGGAGATAGCTTCCTTGGTTCCAGAATGGAGGCCTGGGCCAGGCATAGTGGAAACTCCCTGCTTCGCAAATCAAACCTTATGTCATAACTGTGCTTCTACTCGTACTTCTAATGGCTCACTTATGGATTTTCTATCAAATAATCCATGTTGTAGAAATGGATGTGCTTCAATGCATGGCCGATTTGAAGAGATCACATTTCAGGCTGATGAACCTGAACATCAGTCAACAGAAGGTGTACCAAATGTACTGCGCCATTCGGATTGCTTGCACTATCAGGAAATTTGGGGCCAACATGAAAGCCGCGAACTTACTCCAGTGGGCTCTGGAAGGAGCCATTCAGATGAAGAATATGAAAAATTTGATCAACCAATCTCTACGAAGGATAATAATGATATAAAGATGGAGAATGAAGTTCAATCTACTGCAGGGAAGTCAATTCAACATTTAAGAAGTTCCTTTTGCAGGCTTTCTTCATTGTATAGTGACCCCTCAGACAATGAGAAAAAAGTCCAACAAGAATTAAGATGGCTTAGGGCAAAATATCAGATTGAATTAGGCAAACTCAGAGACCAGCAATTAGGACTTACATCAAGACCTTCAATTTCTAGCAATAGAGAATGCAAACCAAGTGATGAGCTTTTGTCATCTTCAGTAATGGATTCATTTCAAGAAAATAACAGGAAAGATATCTTAAAGTCTTTAGTAGATGATAAGCTTTATGGTTTGCATGTAACTGTCAATAAGAGCAGCCCTAATTTGGACACTCAAATGGCCCGAACCTGCAAGGCCATGAATGAATCCCCAACAGCAAGAAATATGGTCACTGCCAAAAGTTTCTGTAACAGGTCATTGCTTCCACACTCTCTTCACAGGACAACATCCCTCCCTGTTGATGCTATTGATGTATAATATATGTAAGAAAACTTTTTTTTTTCCCCATTCTTTTATATGTTAGTTATACTCATCATAGATGCTTTATCGTTATTACCCAATCCACCTTCAATGGGAGATGGAGCAAATCCACCTTCAATCTGCTAATGTCCTACTTGCATGCCTATCATGTACTAAAAAACAGGAACAAATCATTTGTGGTGATTTGGCATATGTAAATTATGAGGAGAGATGCAAAGCCCTGATCTTCAAATGGAGATTGGAGTCCATGTATATTATTATTATTATTATTGTTGTTGTTTTGTCCAAACAAGGAGATGGAGAGTGTAGGTTTTTTGAGGCTTATGATAAGATCTTTAGATGTAGAAAATTAGTTGAATAATCTATGTGCCTTACCTAATGGCTTTTTGATATTGAGCTGCCAGAAAAGGAATGGTTATAATTTGCTATCATGAGAAAAGGTTCAATCATTGAAGGTGTGATGACTTTGTATTGGTGTCCCATGTGCATACTCTCAATACATCTCAAATTTGTCTAAGACTAGAACACTATCCTCTATTATTCTTTTAAAGGGTTTGTCTAAATGTTTGTTTTATAGAAATTCTTAGATAGACACCGAAACACCCCGTAATACAAGGTTTGTTTAGTATTATTTTTGTATGAGATAGTGATGACCATGCTTTGGTTTCAAACTGGAGCTAAATTGAGATTAAACCGGTCAAAATCGGCGCTAAACAGTAGTCAATGATCCGTTGGTTTATGGTTCCAAACTATAACTAAAACCGAGAATTTAAGGTTCAGTCTAGTTCATTTTTTAAAATCAGAACCAGAAAAAACATAATTCTTAAAAAACTTTAAATTACTTTTTTGTGTTATCATAATTTTTTAAAATAAATTTTAAAAATATTTATTAAATTGGTTTAGTGTTTTTCAATAGTAATATTTAGCATTATTATTTATTCAAGCTATAAATCTAAAGAAAGATTTTAAAAAATTTGAAATACATTATCTAATTTTAGCTCCAAACTGAAATAAAATCGAAATTAACAATTTCAAAGTCATTTTAAAAAGTACTTAAAAGCGGTTCAATTTCAGTTTTATTTTTCTTATAATTAGAATCTCCGGTTTTGAAACTAAAATTCTGAAAGTGTGGCCATGACCCATGCCTAGTATGAGATGCTGATGGAATTTGACTGTTAAAACTTAAAAGTATTTGTTGAAGATTATTAAAATTTATTCTAAGGTAAATTTTACATGTTTTAATTACAATTAAGTGAATAATTTGGTATGCAAGGTGTAGCTGGTCAATAAGAGGTTTCTTGAGGACTTTTTTGGCAAGTTGCATAAATTTATTACTGGTAGAGCCCACACAGTATGGCAACTAATATAGCGAGAGTTTAAAATAATTGGCCCAACAAAAACAAGACATTTCATGCAAAGGTGATCTAAGTCACAGCATGGGTTGCTATTGCCTACATCACTTTGTATGGTTGCTTTAATAATGAATGGTCCACAAACCGACCTCCATTAGGCTGACTTTGATGTAGACTTTAAAAATAAAATAAATAATAAAAAGAATAGTAATCAATTCATCCATATAAAATTGGTGGTACAAAAATTGTACTCTTTCGTACAAGTATGATGCAGCTTGGTCAAACTCTTCAAGCCCATCATAATAATTAATAAGAAATAAAAGAAGTCTTGGATGGACTAAATAGTCATTCTACAATAAGAAACTTCTATGCTTGGTTAAGGAAAATTATTAATAAATATAGATCGCAAAATTTGTGTAGTACTTGGTTTTTAAATAAATAAATAATAACTTGTTCAACCATGTTACTTGAATAAAATCGAATATCTATTTTTAGGAATTTATTTATTATTAAGAAAAATAGTACTACTATATTAAAAATATTAATTTTGGATCATTAAAATATATTTTAAATAAAATTTTCAGCTATTAGATCTTCAAATTGTATTGAAATAAGTGTATTTATTAATATACTCTCTAGCTTTTATAAAAATAAACTCATTTTCTTTTTTTTTTTTTTTATCTCAAACTATATGTCTATTTCTCTTTTTAGAAGAGAATAATTTTTATAATTTCTTATTTTATTCCTATAAATTTTCAGCTATGTAGATCTTCAAATCGTGTATTGAAATAAGTGTATTTATTAATATACTCTCTAGCTTTTATAAAAATAAAACCTCATTTTTCTTTTTTTTTTTTATCTCAAACTATTATTGTCTATTTCTCTTTTTAGAAGAGAATAATTTTTAATATATTTTCTTATTTTTATTCCTATTATATATATATATATATATATATATATACAGAACCAAAATAAAGTCTTGAAATAGATAGTTTATTAAAATATAGACCTTTCATATTCCTAGTTTAAGAAAAAATTATATTAAAATATACTAAGAAAAAAAATGATTACTATATTAACTATATTTTATTAATCTATATTATATATATATATATACAGACAAATAAAGTCTTGAAATAGATAGTTTATTAAAATATAGACCTTTCATATCCTAGTTTAAGAAAAAATTATATTAAATATACTAAGAAAAAAATATGATTAACCATATTAACTATATTTTATTAATCTATATGAAAGTAAAACTAGACGTATTTATATGAATGTTTCACGCGCAAAGCCGGATGAACTTTTATATAAAGTTGAGTTTATAATAGCAAAATTAAACATTTGAAGCTTTTGAAGAAGTCAAAACCAACATCAAAAAGCAAATTATAGTTTAGGAGAATATGATGAAATACTTGAAAACTTAGGCTAACACGAAACCATGATGTAAAACCCACCAGTACCACTTCTTTTTTCAGGGGATAAGTTAATAAGAAAAAAAAAAAAGATTCAGTACAAGCTTCATCATTAATCGAATCATAATAATGGCTGTAGTGAATTTTAAATGGTTAATGGGTGGGGGTGAGAGAGACAGAGTAACTTTAAATGATTGAGAAGCTTTTCCTGTTTTTGCTTTCTCATACCAATAATGTCCTCATCATGAGGATATGGAAATTTTGGTTCTTAATTTTTTTTTTTTTGTTATTATTATTCATAATTTTTGTGACTATAACCAAAGCAGCAGGGTACAACTAGTGGAACCTCAGCATCTAAAAAGCTGATTATCCTTTTACTAAAGTTAAAATAAGGGAATGGGTTTGTCTTCCACTTGCTGCATAGGATTTCACATTAGAGAGAGAGAAAGAGAATTGGTGATTTATACAATAGGTAAGCATATTATTAGATTCCAAGCAGCAGCAACTTTTTCTAAAGAAATGGTTTGAAAGATCAGAATTATCTTGTTGAACTCACGAGTCAAGAAAGCTTTGAAAAGAAAAGGAAAACTCCACTGAAAACAATCACTGATAGCATCATTAATTTTTTAAAATTTGCCTCAAAGTAATCTCAATTCTGCCTTTTTCCTAAAAATGTTTATATTTTATTCTTTCTGGGAACTGGATAGACACAACCCCTTTCAAGTTTAATGATAACTTGATAAGGATTGATAATGCATCCTGTTATCCCTAGACTTGAAAAACATGTGAACAGTATGACCAAAAAGTAATTATGATTCTACAAAAATATATCAACTCCAACAATTTAGAATACCATTATTTTTTCAAAATTTCTTATTTTGAGTAAGAAATAAAAGTATTTTGTGGCGTTAATATTATATTAAAAATATCTGTTTAAGGTTCATTTCGACCCACCAAACATGAACTGCTTATTGGAATGGAATGCAAGTTGTTATCAATTCATCCAAGAAAGTGGAAAATGTTAGGGCTGACTCCACTAGTTCTAAATAAAGTGATCAAGTCAAACCCCTTACCAGTTTCCTGTCATATCCCTGAAACCTGACTAGATATATACTCTGTACAGGAATAGAAGTTGCTAAAGACAGGATAGATATGGTACAAAGATGCTCCATCTAGAATATAAATACCTAACACCACTAGCAGTAACTAAAAATTTAATTAGACCAAAACTAAGATGAAAAAGAAAAATATTAGATGAATGATAATTACAGGATCAATTACTCATTTATAAAATTATAAAGATATACTATATTTTTCATTTTCATACTGTCAGCAGATTTCAAGTTAAAAATCAAATCATTTTATTTCAATAGAAAGCAATAATCTTTTCGTAAAGTTTTATACATTACAATTAAATAAGAACTTTTTATTATAGTTTTGCAATTAAGGGTAGAATAGATAAATTTTAACTAAAGAGACTATAGTACACTCCACTCTCAAGATTAGCCACTGAGTGCTAGTAATAGAAAACCATGTATTTGCTGCATATATTCAACATTGCTTCAGTAATTGAACACCACAGAATGTTATCTATTCAAACAGGATACAAGTGTATTTCCTATACCATGGCTAATCTTATTCTATACAAATAGCCTGTGATTGTTTAAGATCAGGAGATTCGAGTTAATGCTGCTAAAACCTTTTTATAGAGGCCTCAAAAGTGGATAATCTTCAAGTAGTTCTCGCTCTGTCAGTGTATCATTTTCGTTCTGAGGAGTCCATAACACCTCAACTGCCTGCATTATAATAGAAAAGAGAGTCAAGACATTAGATGTATAATAATCTACGAGTCATGCATGACTCGGGAGATATTTCTATACTTACTAGTATTTTGCTGGCGGGAATGGAACCAAGTTTTTGCAATGCTTCCTTTAAGTCTCCACTACTGTTTATGGCTGGCAATTTATGTACTCCTTCAGCAGCCACCAGGATAGTTATCTGCAAATATAAATTGATTTCAATATATAGATTGTTCTCAAATTGAGAAGTAAGAAGGAGAGTCACTCATCTGTCTGCTGTTAATCCAAATTTTATCATCAGCCTAGTTTTTGAGATAGCTTAACATTAAATACAACTCCTAATAAATGCTCTACCTTATGACGCCTCCAAATCTGATGTCATAGAACCACATTATATTCTCTCATGGGAGCATGCTGATTTACAGTGCCAAATCTCTTGTTAAGAAAAATGAAAAACTAGGCATTACAATGGAACTATCTTAACACAAGGAAGTTTTAAAATACAGCAATATGTACTGTGCATAGCTTTCATATTATATATTGGTTTTGATGCTCAAACATGTTCAAACCGGAGACCAGGAGCTAATAACATGTTATATACAATATCATGCTATGAATAGTCTTCCACTCCATCATTTGATATCAATTGAAAACTACTGCAACTTCAGAGATGAAATCTCACCACTATATATTCATTGTTAAAACCATTAGCTCTTTGGCTTGATGTGCTTTGCTTTTTTATGTTGTTCACATTTACAAGCGTTTCTTCATCAAATTTTCCTCTTTCTTCAATAGAAAGCTGATTGAAGCGTTTCTCACCATCCTCAATGCTTCGCTTCACATCCACCTGCAATAACATGCGTATGTTGAGAATATATAATGACTGCACTAAAATCCGAGTGTGAACAACTAAAAGATGTTCCAGGGATAGCTGTTACTCACATATGAATAACCAGAGATGCAATAGTCAGGATGTCGGAGCAAAGATAATGTTGTCTCTGCAACCAAAACAAATGTGTCATGAACCAATATTGATGAGACCGTACAAGAGAGTCTTCATTGTCACTTTCATTAACAAGCTGATTATTGTGGTCTGTATGGATTACTCTTTGGCCAATTCATTCAATAAATCATGGTCAGGAAAATTGCTATAAAATAGCAAAATAACATCATGAACCAAAGAAGGAAACACACACACTAGGTTGCTTTTAGATTCCAGGTTCAGGAATTATGTTCATAAAATGAGGTTTCCTGAGGTGGATGAGAAGAAAAAATTCAATTCAGAAAAAATAATTATACTGAACTCAAGGTCGTAATAAGGATACACCATCCTTCCTTGACGAAAGGCTTAAGCAGCCTAGAGGTTGACATTACTATAACTTTAATCCATGCCAAATAAAGGGAAAACTATTAAGCACTAATTCACACTTCCTCTCTCTCTCTCTCTCTCTCTCTCTCTCTCTCTAAATTTTATTCAGAAAGCTAGAAAAACAGTTGACTACACAGCAAAGGTGAACCTCAGCCCAAAATAGTGGCAAATCAAATGAGGACTGTAAAGGTCCAATTTAAGAGGAATATCCAAGAAGGCATATAGGGGGTATATCTAATGGTAAAAATTGTTCATCTTATTCAAAGAAAGAAAGGATCTCAGACAATTGGTCTTCATTTAATACTTGTGGATGCTTATTTTGATTGATTAACAGTTGATGTAGAGGCAAACCTCTGAAGACGTCTACCTTAATCTGAATATCCTATCAAGATGCAATTCCCTGTTCCTTTTAAGTTTTTCACATCCAAATTCCAACAAGGAAACACTACTTTCCAAACCA